AAAAAAAAAAAATTTATGACTTAACATTTGTGCTTTAATTACTTGTTACATAGGTGAATGTAGTGGTGGATCAGACACCAGGATTTTGGAGTAGTAATGAACATAATTATCTGCAGCAACTGAAATGTGGTTAAGAATGCATCTGATTTCTCTGGTTGACAAAGTCCTAGGTACTGCCAGTACTAAAATGGCTTGTCACCTACATTGGTACTTAAAGGAAGTGCTAAATTTCAGTTAGAGGTTAGTGAAAATAAAGATAGAAATGTTTTCCCGTTCAAGTTTAGGGACACATAGTTCTGTCCACAGGCCCCAGTTTACGAACCTCTCTGGCCTACAGTTTTTCCTTCCATTGTTTGATTGTATTTAGGTGGTGGGGAAGGGTAGCTGGGTCCCCTCATCCTGCTGTCAGAACCTCAAATCAATGCTGGCAGATCAGTTCTTCTCAGCCAGAACCGTTTAAAATCTCAATTACCTAGTGCACTTATTCCACTGATTTGTGCTTTACTCATTATTTCAAAAATAAGAAATAGAACATGGGCAAGAAATAGCCCAGTGTTTTTGGAAAGCGATTTGAATACCCTTGGATGGGATTTCCCTGGGAAATCAGATGATAAATGTGACTGGACAGGTATGCTTATCTCCGGTATCTGGGGGTCTTGGAGACATCCTGGCCGGCTCACTAATACAGACGCCAGCCACCAGGCAGCAGCCAATGACGTGTGGTCATTTTCAGCGAGCAGTTTCTTTATGATGTAGTATTAGGGAGCAGGCCCTGTCGGTGCCACTTTGCTTAGGAGTATAGCAGAATAAATCAGGGGCTCTGCCTGGGAAATCAGACTAATCAAGAGAGGTCTGTTTTAACAGATGCCCTCTGATACCAAAGAGGGAAGCCTGGAGGGCTGTCTCCCCCCCATTGCCTAGAGATGAAAACCCAGGATTGTAAAGACAGGAAAGGGGCCGGTCTCTTACAGATGAGGGCTTTGCCTCTGGTGTTAACTTAGTATTGTTCCTGATAGGTTGATGATTATGTTGGTATTTAGGTTCTCACTAAGTGATTCTGACAGCTCTGAGTTCATTGCAGAGCGACAGAAATGCTCCTTGGGCTATGTTCCGCGTCCTCTACTTTCTAGATAACTCTGCCTTTGCCTGTGTTCAGTTGTGGGAGTTAAATTTGATAACCTGAAACTTCCTGTCCTTCCGGTGCTAAGGGGGAGCTGTC